ATTAAAAGCCCTTCTGATACTATCAAGGTATATTTGCCCTGCTAGCCCATCTACAGTATTCTTTTGCACCTCAGTACCTGATGTCACAATGACAGTCTAATTCTATGCTGATGTGTCCAGCTGTTACTTAGAAAAGACCTGTTCTTAATTTAAACTGTGGTATATCTCTTAGTAAGTCTAAACTATCTGAGAACTGTATCGTTTTCCATTAGTTTATTAGCATGAGAACTTCAGATATGACAGCAACTGCATTAACATGCATCTTTCCAATCATTAGTCTTTAGGTATTTCATTGGGGATTTAGTCAGAGCTGGATTCAGTGGGTTTCACATCACCTGTTACCACTACACCGTGACATCACTGAGTGCTACAAAGTTTTCAAGGCATGAAAAACTCATTCAAGTTCTGCTTTTACTGATTTTGTAACAGGATTCTTGTCTTCACTCAAAACCTTTCAAAGGAATTGTTCATCAGTTAAGTTGACTTTAGCGTAACAACAACAAAAGGTAAATTAAAACAGGGTATTTTTCATCCAGTGTTAGATAAGGAGCTTCTTTCAAAGATGTTTTGGTACTGTGAACCTGTTATTATTTCAAATACAAGAAGTACCACCTATATGGTGGTAGAAATCTGCTCAAAAGCAGAGAAGTGTTGAAAGAATTATTATGTAAACAAAAGTGACAGCTTATGTATACAGTTCAAGTTCCATAAATTATAGAAACTAAACTAGAAAGAAATGACATGCATAAAGGCCCCATGTTAACTGCTGAATAAATATGCACGATTCTATAGACATGATGATATGTCTATAGAATATGTCCAATGTAGGTGCACCTTCACAAAATGCCTTACTGTGAGATGAAACTTTCACTGTGCCATGAATATGCTTGATTTTTCATCACAGTCAATGAAAAAAGTCTTATCAAAAATATAAGTGTTTGTGTTTATAAAGAATACTTACATACATTTAAAACTATACCCACAATATATTAATGTTCCTCCTGGCTTCTCAAAGGCTTGTCAGTGATCTACACATATGTCCCAGATCTTGGCGTTCAAAAGAAAACCTGATACATTGTGGAAGAAGCCCTCACTATGCATTAAATGTGCCAGATGCACCAGACGGTAAACCATGTTAGAAAGGGAAATACCCATGCACAGGCAAAAAGACTTCAATGTATGCACTTTTTACATATCTTAGAAAAGCAGCCTCTATAATCAAAAATATTTAGGCCAGAGGATGAAAATTAACCTACAACTTTCAGGATGCAGGCTGGAAAATAAGCATACACACTTTTTAAAAAAATCTTACCAATTTGATTTCTATCACTAATATCTTTATTTTCTGATTTCAAGTCAATTATCTCCTTCATTCTGGAACACGTTTTAAAAACTGGCAAAGAAGTGCATCTAAAATTCGTCTAAACTCAAGTAGTCAGTAAAATGAACTTGCTGCAATTCAGGACTAAACTGAAAGGATGCAAATAACTCATGTGCTTGGTGCCATCTCCTGGTAGCTTAGGGATAAAACTATCAGAAGAATCACTGAACGTTGTTTCACAGTAGTAGCTTTTTAAACTCTCAAAATTCACAAAAGCTATTTCACTATCAGGGCATAGCTTCATTCAAGCCAAATGACATTTTCACATTGGCTTAAGTAAAGAAACTGGGTTTTTTTTGTCTCATTTTTCTACAACAAATAAGGACTTATCCAAATATTTTTAATTTCAAAATAAGTTCAGAATCACTGATAAGAGGTAAAAAGACAAGTTATTTTAAAGAGTTTTACACCATGTTCCGCAAGTGAATCTTTTGGAGGAAGCTTATTCATCATAATACAAGTCTTCATACAGTTAATTAGCCTGCACTGACTTGTTTTTAAAGACAATTTCTTTTTAATGAATATTTAAGATTCAAAACATTCTTTCCCAGTTGCACTTTACCTGCTGTTGATGAAAGAAAGCAGCATGGCTACCCATAACAATATCCCATGGTTTACTTTGTAAAAAAGAGCACTGGCCAACATGTTAAGAAGTCATATTGACAGCTAGCACGGGTACCTTATTCAAGTTCAGTGCTACAAAGGCTGCCGAAAACAAACTTGTCTAGCAACAAAAATTAAACAAACTGATCTTGGTAATAGAAAACCTGATTTTAAAAAGTATGTATGTAAAAATATTTTACATTAATTCTAAAGTTAGTTCCAGACAATAATAAATCAAAGGAATCCTGTCTGAAAGCCATGAAGATGCAACAGAAGACAGCAAAATGCTCACACACTGTGATCTGAAATTTAAAAGTTTTGAAAATAACACTTGCATAACAAAACAGAGATGGTATTTGGCTGGGCTAGTATGCTCAGGAAAAGCTTTAGCCCAGAACAACCCATACGTCACTCCCTCCCATAGCACAGAGAACTAAACAGTTGTAATAGAAAAGTTTCACTAGAAACCACAGAAGTTCAGCCAATTGAGATGGGCTTCAGCCCACCAGGAGGTAAGACAGCATCCAACACGGGATCTACAAATACCAGAAGATGGACAGAGGGAGAAAGGCAACAAAAAGTCTAACCTGCAGAACAAGAACAAGCTCAATACTCACCATCAGTATAAGGCACAGACAACTTCAGATGTGCAGCATTATAAACCCCCAAAGAAGACTCAAAACAATGCACAGAAAATAAGAGACAGAGGTGAAAGTACCAGCTCTTTCTAAGGGCTAGTAAGTAGAGAAGCTCCCCCTGTAGTGCGGAAGGAAATTACTCAGAAGAGCTTGAGATCTACCAGAACAGAAGAAGCAGCAAGGCTCTGTTACCCAGGGTAAGATTTCCTTTCTCTGCACAGGAAGAACTGGATTTTACTGAGACTTGATGTGACAATTTGTTGATGTGATAAGAGGGCTTTTGTAACAAACCGGACTTTTATTTTACAGACTGTTTTATTATGCTGGCAAGAGAGACCTGTCCACATCGCCCTGATGGCTAAAAAGCTGAACAAACAAACAAAAAAAAAATAGCCCCAAACTTGGGAATGAACTCTACACATGGATTATTTCTTCTTTCTGCTGAATGACTACAGGAGCGTGACTAGAGTTGCCTTAAAAAACTTGAAGGAGCAGCAATAATCTGGATTGTCACAGGTTCATTAACAATTGCCATGGGGAAGCAATCATTAAATGTTGCAGAAAAGCCAAAATAAATAGGGGACATTTCCTTCCACAAAAAGAGAATTAAAAAAAAAGAAAAAAAAACTGTCATAACTTCGAAATGTAACTGAGAAATAGAGCAATGACTAAAGAATCATAAGAAAACCAAATTAAATGCAACTGGGATTTCACATTCCTTACGAAAATTAAGGCTTTAGCATGAAATAATTAAACCGGGGATAGCCAACTCATGATGTGCCAGAATGTATAACTCATTCTGTCATCTTCATTCCTGAGTCCCCGTGAGTTGGTCAGGAAGTAGGCTGTCAGACACACAAATTCCCTAACCCACAGCAGTATCCGTGTTGCTCTCCATGAGAGCCTCACAGCCTCCTGCTTGTCACACAGCTGGACATGCCCTAAATGTGAACTACAAGCATCAGCAGCGCATGGAGCAGGCCTGTTGAGTAACACAACTAAAGGACTTAAGTACATATGTCCCCATCACAGCTTGGTGGCTCCGTTAGAGCACAGCATGGTCAAGCGATTACCACAGACCTGGATACATGACAGAGTTGCACTCATCCCCTAGCTGCCTGCTGGGGGATTTGGGCTTGACCTGGCAGAAAAGGTGAGTGACACTGACCTCAATGAAGTGATGACAGTTTAAAACAGGTATCATGGAGCTCAGGATCTGTAACAGAGAAACAAAGACAAGATAATTAGAGAATGCAAAAAGAAAAACAGCACACTTATTGTCAGATATCTAGGCCTTCATAGAGGGGAGTTATTGGCAGAGGACAGGAGCGCTTGCCTATATGAGGATTAAGAAAAAGAGCAGTGAAGGTGAAGGACCTTCCAGTAAAAAGGAAACTGTAAAGTTTAAGAAAGATAAATGTGTTATAGACTAAAAAGATCAAACTGCTTAAAATTAATGAAATGGTCATAAAAAAATATATGCTGAAAGGCAAAGCAAAACCTCAGGAGCTCTGTACTGCAAAGTTCAAAAGAATAGGAAATGTGCAGTCTTACCATTAGATTACATTTACAGGAAACATAAGGAATTAGAAGAGAAAGAGTGACACAGTGTAAAAGGGAAATGTATTTCCCTACAGAGACAGAAAGAACAGAACTGCAAAATGCAAAGGGTGTTTTTTGGCAGTGAAGAGAGAAGCAATTAAACTTGTAGTCAGTAATTAAATATATCTGCACGGTCACATCAACAACACCCCCTCGTCCACCTCTGCCAAAACACAGAGGAACCAATTTTTGGAAACAGAGATCAGCTAACTGCAGCGGGAGACCCTTAACGAACCCACCAGAGCGGAGAGGAGGTGAACTTCACTTCAGTGAGCGGTGGGCTTTGCCTTTCACCCGGCTCTAACACCAACGGCGCAGCGCAGGCGGCAGCTGTACGAACCGCGAGCCGCCGCGCCCGCCTGGAACCTCAGAGGATGCAAAGCACGAGCAAAGCCCAGTGGGGGTAAGGAAGGGAGGGCTCCGAGACCCTTCTGGGACAGGGGGACGGCCGGGGCTGAAGCAGAACAGTGGGCATTAACGGCAATCCAACTTCTAAAAGCTAAGCGGGGCGCCTTTCGGACTGAGCACCACCAGAGATCGCCCACAGCAGTACTTGGGTCTGTTCGCACCAGGAACACGCCCTTTCCAAGCGCAAAAGCTTCCACAAGCTCGCGCGCACCGAAAGGCACCTGACGGCCCGCCGTAACGGCCGCACCACGCGCACGCGCAGCACGGCAGCTCATCTCCCCGCGTGCTCGGGCGAGCGAGCAGAGGCGCGGCCTCGCGGTGCGCCTGCGCGGCAGCGCATCGAGACGGCCGGAAGGGGCGGGGCGCTATTTGAAGCGGGCGGCGGGCGGGCACCTCTATGGCCGCGCAGGTCAGCCGCGAGCAGCAGGGCATCACCCTGCGGGGCAGCGCCGAGATCGTCGCCGAGTTCTTCTGTAAGGGTCTGCGGGCTGTCTAGGGGCGCGGGGAGACGGGGGCGGGGGGAGAAGAGGGCAGACGGGCCGCTGGCTCCTCTCCTGCGGCCGACATGGCCGTCGGTGGGGCGGGAGGGGCGGCCCCCCCCTCACGCACGCCTCCCCGCTTTGTGCGCGCAGCCTATGGCATCAACAGCATCCTGTACCAGCGGGGCATCTACCCCCCCGAGACCTTCACCCGCGTCCAGAAGTACGGGCTTACCCTGCTCGTCACCACCGACCCCGAGCTGAAGAACTACCTCAACAACGTGGTGGAACAGATGAAAGGTGTTCCTCCTTTCCGTATCCCTCCTCCCCCCCCCTTCTCTCACGGCCTGTAGTAAATGCTGTGGCCTCTTCCAGAGTGGCTCTACAAGTGCACCGTGCAACGCCTGGTGGTGGTCATCTCCAGCATAGAGAACAACGAGGTGCTGGAGCGGTGGCAGTTCGACATTGAATGTGACAAGAACGCCAAGGGTGAGAGGTGAGTGACAGCATTACTGAGCCTGCTTCTCCCTACAAAGGAAAGACCACATGTGGTAGCGCTGCTCTGTTACCTCACTGCAGCTAAGGCTGCTCTTTCTCACTAAAAGCTGTCAGACTTTACCAAACAAAGCTGAAGGTGCCATTGGTGTGCCCAAGGGACAGGATGCTATCCAGGGGGACCTAAACAGGCTGAGCATTGGGCCCAGGTGAACCCAAGATTCATAGATTCATCAGAGCAAGGCCCTGTACTTGGGTCAGAGCAAACCCTGGTATCAGTACAATCTGGGAGAAGTACTTTTTTTTTTTTTTTTTTAAATAAGATTGGCAAGGCAGTGACACAGGATGTCCAGAGAGGTTGTGGATGCCCTATCCTTGGAGCCACTCAAGGTCAGGCTGAGCAGGGCTCTGAGCAACCTTAAGGAGCTGTAGGTGTCTCTGTTTATTGCTGGAGAGCTGGACTACATAACCTTTAAAGGTCCCTTCCACTTCAAATGATTCCGTGATCCAATTATTAAAATGTTTTGTAATCTGCAACTAAACAAAGTCCTGTATTACTGCTCTTCTGCCAAAACTCTCATCCATTCCAGACAAAGAATATGTTCTTAAAAACACTGTGAGATTTCACAAACAACAAGTGAAACTGACAGTTTTCTAAGCCCATTTATCTAAGGCTTAAAAGAATGCCTCTATTCTGTATCACCATACAGCAAACAGACCCCACAGAAGTGCAGCAGAACAGTGTTTAAAGAAAGCTGTCACACAGTAGGTATAAGTTGTTTTAACAGTTTTCCCATTTTTTCCAGTGCACCCCGAGAAAAATCTCAGAAAGCCATTCAGGATGAAATTCGATCAGTTATCAGACAAATCACTGCCACAGTAACTTTTCTGCCTCTCCTGGAAACTGCCTGTGAGTACTCATAATTTCTGTGAAAGAAATCACACCTTTCAGAAAGCCTGAACTAGCATTCTATTGTAAAAAGTCTTTTCCACTATTGTGTGTTTTTGTTATTACTTGTCATGTATTGCATTTCTGAGTGTTTCATGTTTAGTTAGACCAAGACAGTCTCAGCCATGTACAGAAACAGCATCAGATAAAGTATTCTAAGGATCATTCCGAATTGATTCCTGTACAACAAACTGAAAAGAAGTGCTAACATAAACACTGTGCTGTAGCTCTCATTCAAGCATTTGAAGGTACTAGTGGTGATATCCCCCCAAAATACCTGTTTTTTCCCCAAAAGGTGCAATTCAAGGTGAGTTACCTAGCTTGATGAAACTTAGCGTGTTTGAGGAACTACAGTTTTCATAAATATTGTGACTACAGGAATGTTAACTTGTACTTGTTTTCATTCTTTAACTGCCATTTCTTTAGCTATTATCAGTGTAACTTCTGATAACCTTGGTGCATGTCTCCATGCATTTTATCTTCAATCATAGTATCACTCATGTAGGTGTACTGCTAACTTTTTCCCACTTGCTTACAGGTGCCTTCGACTTGCTGATTTACACAGATAAAGACTTGGTAGTGCCAGAAAAGTGGGAAGAGTCAGGACCACAATTCATTGCCAATTCAGAAGAGGTTCGCCTTCGTTCCTTCACTACCACGATCCACAAAGTAAACAGTATGGTGGCTTACAAAAAGGATTCTTTTCCCTAAAACGGCTTCTTGTACATATCCTGCCCTCTTGTATAGTTTCTGTTCATAGTGCAGCTATGTTGTGAACACACAATTGCTCTTGCTGAAGTATGGTACAGCATGTGCCTGATAATGTGGATATGCTGTCCTGCATCAGTGCATGTCTTGTCCTTCTTCAGCACCTGCCCAGCGTTTTCTATGTCTGTATTCTTATTTTATGGAATAAAACTTGAAACTGTATAGTGTTCTCCCAGTCAGAGAATGTGGGAAATTGTATTTTAGATTTTAGAACTCTGTATACCAGCAGTTCAGGCTACTGCCATAAGTACTCTTTCAGCAGTTATAAAAGGTATACCTGCTTCCAAAAACAGAAATGAAGCTCAGATCCCAGTAATTACCTTATCTGTTTCCTCAGTCACAAATCAAATGCTTTAGTCAATATGAAATCCATGAAACTATATTCATTAACTGTAGTTTGTCCCTGCTTGTGCCTAATACTGTTTGTGGGAGACTCAATGATTAGTGATGACTTTATCATTCACAGACTGGTTTGGGCTGGAAGGGTCCTATAAGATCACCTAGTTCCAACCCCCTGCTACAGGCAGACATACCTCCCTCTAGAGCAGGTTGCTCAAAGTCCCATTCAGGCTGGCCTGGCTCTCTTCCAGGAAGGGGGATTCACAACCTCACTGGGCAACCTGTTCCAGTGTCTCACCACCCTTGAAGTGAAAAATTTCTTCCCAATATCTAGTTTAATACTACCCCCTTCCAGTTTAAAGCCATTTCCTCTTATCCTGTCACTACATGCCCTTAAAAAAAGTAACTCCTCATCTTTCCTGCAGCCCCCCTTCAGGTACTGGAAGGCTGCTATCAGGTCCCTCCTGGAGCCTGCTTTTCTCCAGGATGAAGAGCCCCAACTCCTCATAATGATTAATGATTAAGCACAGCGTTGCCTTCTAAATTAGTATCAGACAATAGCCCAGTTGAAGAAGCTCCATAAAAGAAAAAAATTCAATTCCATACACTGCTTTCAGCACTCCCCATAGTCACATCCGAGTTAGTACTTAAGCACTTACATATCAGTCAAATCGTGAGTGGTACAATACTACCATTTCAAAAGAGTTTATTGTAATACTGCTGTAAAGTGTGAATAATGGGTTTTCCTATCAAGAAATATTCATCCCCACAGCAGTCTCACTTTAGTACAGTTAGAAGGCATTGTGTAAATCAGTAAGACAAATCACAAATAAATATAATCTAGCTGCAGTAACAGAAGAATAAGCCTAGTGCTTTCCTCTGCCTGTCAGAGATGTTCTTAAGCAGCTGATTGCACTGCCCATTTACACCAAAAGTAGGTGCAATTCAACAGCAAGTGCAATTTCAAGCACTTCCCTTGGGGAGGACTGGATCAAACCAATGGTTGCTGTTCCCTTGCAACAAATTCAAATCAGGAAATGACAATGCATGCTTTATACCAAAGGTGAAATAAAGAGCTGACTGGTACAGCGCCAACAGTAAAAAGTATTGAAGACGAAGTAAAAAAAATTGCAACACTTTAAAAAAGTTAGATTGCTCCAGAAAGTTCAAGTCATTTCTTTTTTTTGCACCAAATACAATTTCTTTCTCAAGGACCAGCCTGGAGTGCAGCTTTTGTCACCTGGATTTTGTTGGTGAAGGTAGCAACAGTCAAGAGATGTAGTATATCACTGTAGAGAGCCCAGGTCGATGAAAATTACATGTGAAAGAGCCGGTTATAAATCACAGTGTTTTCCTTTTCTGTTCTGTAGTCTGCGAAAAGAAAAAAAAAAAAAAAAAATCACCAGTCATTGAACACAATTTCCCAGCAATCAAGCCTTTATGGAATAGTCCACTAGGACTGATAGCTAATGCAACCCATGATCTTCTCTAGTTTTCTCTGTGACTGTGAGGGTCACTGTTGTATTGTAAAGTCATCTTTGATGGCAGTACAGTTATTCTTAGGAAGCCAGATAAACAATAAGGACTTAGCAGTTACATTCCTCACCTGTCTAGTTCAGCTGACGTATAAGCTGGTTGATTCCTTCACCTCTGCAGCCAGGCTTACCCATCTCCTTGAGGAAACCCACTTTATTATGTGCAGCATGGCGGGCCACTGACAGCTGGAACGGCCACAAGAAGTCCGTGACATTTCTGAAATACTTCCCAACTGAGTAGATTTCATGAATAAGGTCTTCCAGGCAAATAATACCAAAGTTGCCTGCAGGAAAAAATAACCACAAAGTAAAATGAACAAGATGCGCGACACACAGCACACACACATCCACCACCCATACAGGAGATTCCTTCACGCTATCCAATAACCACCCATCCTCCATATACTAGTCTTGCACAATTTTTCTCCCTCCCTTCTCTCTAAGGTCAGATTGCAAACTCAGCACCTCCCTTAATTGCGAATTCCCTTCATTTTCTTATCTTATTCCTCACCTAAATGTTCCTCTATCAACATATTATTCGTCAGAGGTACCCTCTTCTTGTTAACCTTTCCTTGGCCCCGTTTCAGGATGAGCTCTCGCACAGACTTCAGGTTAGGATACCTGCACAAAAACAAGAAATCAGACTGCATAGTGGAGGGACATGATGCAGTGGGGAGTTCTTCTCTGCTGCTTTGCATTAAAGTTGGAAAGGTACATAACCAAGGTAGCTTTAGAGTGATGAAAATGAACAATAACAAGTTTTAGATGTGAAGTCAGTGAATTTTTGACCACTTACTGGAGAAGCTAGCTACAAATCAGAAAGCCACGATACCTTTCTACAAAACCAAGAGACTCATGCAGTACTTACCCCCAAGCCACATAAGGTTCTACAATCCGCAGCATCTTCAGCGATAATGGAGACAGTTTAACGAATGTTCCACTGAAAATTTTTCTTAGCCGCAGCAACTCAATCACTCTTCTTACCCTCAAACTCACTCCTTTAATCCTTAAACAAAAAAACATTCTATTAGTAACCACGTTTCTTAAACACTACCAAATGTCCTCAGCTTACCTGCAAAGACACAGGTGGCTACATCACACTTCCTTTGCTTAGAAGGTGTGTGACATTTACAGACAATAGCAATAATAAGAAGTAACAAGCTCTCTTACTCTGTAATCCGTACAACAAAGGCCAGTCTGTGCTCCTTAGGTACAGCCACCTGCCCAGGTCGCTGCTCCATGCGCCTCAGCCGGACGTCATCTCGGCGTTTGCGCCATGAATCTCGAACAAAAGTCTCAAGGCGTTTAAACTGGATTTGTTTCCCCTTCTGGAGCTAAAGACAAAAGGATAAGGAACGATCAACCTCCTCAACAACCTCAGAAGTGGGCATCTCAAAGGTCAGGTGAAATTCAGAACTTCACGCGCTATGCTGTTATCTTTGGAGACGGCAATAAAATACATTTGAAAATCCAAGCCTGGAAGAGACAGAGCTCAGGGACAACACACAAAGTCGCAGACTTTAAGCAGTGAGCTGTGACTTCCAAACAGAGAACAGGAGGTTTTCCACGGAAGGAGATATGTTAGGAAAGACACAGAGCAAGACCCAAGATGATTCCAGGCACAGGAGAAATCAAACTAACACAGCCACTCACACATGGCTTGGTCAGCTCAGGGAAAGCCAGAAGCAACATGTATTATAAAATAGATAATAATAGATGTATTATAAAATAGGGACACCAATAATCCACTATAACTGAAAATAACCGCCTAAGAGAAAATAACTTGGTTTTATTTCCTTTTTCATAAAAATACACATGAAAAAAAAAAAAAAAGAAAAAAAAAAGGAGAAAGATGCATCCATTGCTATTACTATTTTAAATACAGAACCACCCAGTTCATTTGAAAAATTTTTTTACAGAATTATGGGAAAAGTGAAAGCTTTCTTTTTCTTTCCAATTCAAAAGTTCACATGCTTGTTCTCAGTTCAGGATTAAGCACACCCATCTATTTCACAGTGCTTTCTCAGCTGAGATGGTACACAGCAGCTACCCAGTACCACTTCAGACACATTACTAGCTACTGCAGTCAGCCACTTTTAAACTAAATACATTATACATCTTCAGTTCTCTTTCATGACGGAAACCATCTGTGGAATTAGGTTGCATTTTCCAAGCAGGCAGAGACTTGATGAACTCCCATAGTTAAGGTCATTTTTACTAAGGAGAACCTTAAGTGACTGCCGGGCATTATTTCTCAAGCTTCCCCTTCTACCTGGAGAACACTGCAGCCATCCGCACGCTTACAAACACACCCATGGTATCCAACAAAGAATGGAAGAGGTTTCAACGTGGCCCCACGAACACTACAGGAACAGATTCCCTCAGCAAGCCCTACGCCATTTCCGAGATAGGCCCCCGTTGCCGGCTGTCAGAATAGCGCAGGTCTCTGGCTGTTAACTTAAAGTGCCGCCTCCCGGCCCCGCGGCCCGCACCTTGCGCTTGTTGAGCAGCGCCTGCTTGGCCTGGGTGGCCTTGATGGCCTGGTAGGCCTTCCTCCTCTTCAGCAAGTTCTCCGGCACCAACGGAATCCGCCGCTTCTGCCTGCGGGTGAGAGAAGCCGGTCACGCTCAGCGCCCGTCACGCCCACCGCCGCTCCCCCCGCCGCCCTGCCCGGTCCCACAGCCGCCCACTCCGGCCGATGGCGGCAGATCCGCGCTCCCAGCAGCTCGCCACTTACTCGGGCTCCGCCATCTTGCCGCCGCCGCCACCGGAGGCGCTGCCGCGCACGCGCTCCGCAATGCGAAGAGGGGAGATGGCGGGGGGCGCATGCGCCGCTCTAACCGGCTCGTCCCGCCTCTCGCCCTCCCTAGGAATGGACCAGAAGAGCAAGGGCGTACTGGGGCAGGGAAGAACCGGGTCTCGGGGCTGTGTGCGCAATGGCGGGTACGGGCGGGGTGCGAGCTTCTAACAAACGGTACAATAACGTTAAGCTCAGAACGGCAACCTCCGGCAGTGACTGTCTTGAATTAAACGCAGCCTCAGCTCGAGGGTCACAAGGACCACCTGGGAATATCTGTATACATACACAGATATGTACACACACCACTGAGGTTGCAAAGGTGGGACAAGGCGTGAAAACATGAGCTATTCTTCTGGGAGATGGCTCTGCCTCTTACACCTTCACACTGACGCTGCTTATGCTGATTCTTCATGTAAATGCTGTACAAGAGATTACAAGAGTAACTTGTACCAGGTCTGTGGACACCTCCACTGTTCTCCACTGCTACTGAATGGGTCAGTTGTATGAGTTTCTGCATAACCTCAATGTAACTTGACCCAAAATAGTATTTCTGAAGACAGTAGGCCTAGCATCATCTTGGAGAGGCCCATCTTGATCACAGAATCGCCAGGGTTGGAAGGGACCTTCAGGATCATGAATCTTCAACTTCCCTGACACATTCCCTCCACATTTAATACGAGACCAGGCTGCCCAGGGCCCCCTCCAACCTGGCCTTGAACGGAGCATCCGTAGCCTCTCTGGGCAGCCCTTCCAGCACCTCACCACTCTCTTAAGAACTTCCCCCTGACACCCAATCTTCCTTCTCCAAGGTGAGCTTAGGGAGGCCAGAAACCTCCTGTGGAGCAGAAGGGCAAAAGCTCGTTTGATTTTGATTTCAGTGTCAACAGTTAATTTCCAGCACCAGTGAGAATGCCTGTCCCAGCTGGAGCCAGCAAGCAAGGACCGCTCCTGCCGGGCTGGGACAGTGTGAGTACAGATACCCCCTGTGCCCTGCACATGTCAGATGAGAGCAACTGTGTTCTGCTGGTTCTAGGTAAGGTGACCTTATGTTGATCATGGAGCCAAAGCTTTGAAGGAGCTGTTTGCTCAAACATAGGGAAAACTTATCCAGAGGAAATATACTGCTGATGCATTCATTGTCACACAATGCTTCCTGGGTAATATTCCTAACATATGCTATAAAAAGAAGTGAAGATGAGTAAGGAGGCCCAGACAGGCTGGACAACGGTATCACCCGTAGATGGTGCCCTCGCCTCACAGTAGGAAGATGCTGCATCTGGTGGGGCAGCACTGGTGTTCTGCCGCCTCCTCTTTGACAGGGAGGACAGAATTGGGATGTGTGCTACGCGCTGGATATGTTATTTTCATTGCATCTGTATTCATTTGATTTACACCAACTGATGTGCTTTTAACTTGTCAGCTACACAGCTGAGATTCAGAGCCTTGCACTAAAAAGCTCTGAGATGTCAATGTTTAACAGCTTCACCTCAAAGACACTGCAAACCTTTTCAATATTAAATTAGGCCACTCATATTTTGACGCTTTGTACCTGAATACCCATAATTAGAAGTGGGAGGCCACATTCCTGCATGGGCTCAGGCACATGCTATGCAAAGAGCACATCTCTTGGAGAGCAAGGCCAGCTTCCTATCAGCTATCCTTTGATGCATTCTTTGGGATTATGAAAGAGAAAGTAAGGAGCATATGAAATAGATCATGTGAAATCTTCATTAAAGAAACATAAAGGCAAATCATAATCTTCACTCTGCCATGAGGGTAAGCTGCTCTGTATCAAAATAGATAAAGTAATATCTCTGTTAGCTCACAAAGGGAAATGCATCCAATTTAAATCTACACACAAGTATGTTTTCTTTAACAAGGGAAATGCAGATGGGATCTCGGGTATTTCATTATTAATGAAAGGGCAACAATAAATAAGTAAATATTTCAAGAGCTGTTGCTATGAAATGTCACGCAGCATAGCAGCACACCTCAGCTGACTTATTAAACATTAACTAATATCTGTAGTATATTAATGAGTTACTTTTCAAATGTCTTTATATTCAGGAAAAATATTCTCACATTCCTATATGGCAAGCTATTGTAAACTAACCTCCAGCACCCTAATTCCTATTCTACCCTTTTTTCTTAACAAGGACTTACATTTCCCAAGATTTCCATTAACTGTTACAGATAAATCCAAGACAGCATGTTTATAATAGACACCGTCAGTCAGTGATGGATTAAAAGATTTCTCCTAGTTTGTGGGCAATTCAGAATGATAGGTAAAATCATTTTTTAAAAGCTAGAGAAAAAACCCGGGTATCTAGACATGCCACTTCAGTCACTGCTATTCAGCGACTTCATAAATCAGCTGCTGGCTTCCCATCAATATCCATGATGAGTGCATTTTCTCCGTTCTTCTTCAGTGCACCTTAGATAAGGCTCAGAGCTCACCAAAGGAAAGTATTTTTGGAAACAAGGTATTTAGGTAATTCAAAAAGACCTGCTGGGCTGGGGAAGGTGGGTGGGGAAGGAAGATGTTACTTTTAAGGACCAAAATTGAATGTATCATATTAGAAATAAATAATCCATACAGCATGCCACAAAAATGTCCTCTTTTTCATCAGCAGAATAGAAAACATCCTCTTTTTCTGTGTGTATGACCAAGATGTTACAATTGCAATATAATCAAAAGAGTAAGGCAAAAGCGAACAAGGATCGCAAAAGAGAATAAGTAGAAGAGCTTACCCTTGGGTTGAGCTCACTAGAAGATACCAAAAGAGGAGGATCTCCAGAAGAGATCCTTCCCCTCTGGTAGCCAGCTCTTAAATAGGTCCAGGAGGGGTGGAGCCTGGCTCCACCCCTTCCGGCAGCACAGGTGAATTGCCTTCACCTGTGCTCCTCTGGCTGACTCAAGGCTCACCTCAGGTGATTAATCAGAGGTTCAGGCCGTGACTCAGCAGTTCCCATACACTGTGCAACATGCTTTTTGCACTTCAAAATATAAACAAATCCTCACAATACATGCAATATATGAATTATATGCTATATATAATATACATAGGTTTTGCATACTATATGTATATATATTTATATATAGTATACATACTATATGCAATATATTATACACTGTATGTTATATATTATATATTATACGTTATATATTACCTATTATATATTATGTTACCTTTTGATATGTTGCCAGCTTCAGCAGATCTGTTATGCTGTTTTGAGGAGACTGAGAAGTTGAATGGAGAAATCCAAATCAAAAGGAGGAAGATATCTTTACAATAGGAGAAGGTTGTTTCTCTGCCCTGGAAGGCAAGAATTTTAAAAAAGAGCCTTACTCAGAAAGCTAGGTCTTGCTTTGTACAAGCTGCTTGTCTTTATAGATAAAGCCAAGAATGATGATGAAGTGGCTCTTCTGTAATCACACCTGTCAATATTGGCATGCCTGCTGCTGCAGCATGCTCGCATTTTCTGCTCTTTCCGCATATCTTACCTTGAAACTCTTCCCAGTGCCTTTACAATTTTCACAGCTGTTGCAGGGCTCCCCAAGAGCAGGTCCCTTCATTGTGCTTGAGACTTCATTAGAGTAAATGAAAGCAAACATAGACAGAACTCTCTTTTGTCCCCGAATTCTTGACATGATCTTGTTCTCTCCCTCTAGATGGTTTGCCATCTCATTTTATTTTCAGCTCTCATTTTATTATCATACTTCAGGCTGGCATTTTGTGTCACATACTTTGTTACTTTATTCACAGACACAAACGTAAAGACATTAGAAAATACAAAAGCAGCAAACTGAGGTCAGCTGGGTTCCACTTTCAAAAAAGTAAATGCTGTTATTTTGTTTTGTTGTTTTGCAAGTACAGAATGCTGTTATTTTGTTTTGTTGTTGTGCAAGAACTTCTTTACAGTGAGGTGACGGAGCACTGGAACAGGCTGCCCAGGGAGGTGGTGGAGTCTCCTTCTCTGGAGATGTTCAAGACCTGCCTGGATGCCTACCTGTGCTACCTACTGTAGGGAACCTGCTTTGGCAGGGGGGTTGGACTCGATGATCTCTGGAGGTCCCTTCCAACCCCTACAATTCTGTGATTCTGTGATTCTGTGAAGTACAGTCCTCTTTTAAGTGACCACAACTCACATTTGAATTAAACACTTAAAGCTATTTTCTCAGCACAGGAGGAATAAATTAAGTGGACTTAAGCCATGGCTTAAATCTTCATGATAAAGATGTAGCTTTTGGGATCTGAGTGCTTCTCTTTGCTAACTTCGATTGTTTGCTATTTGGGGAACAGGCCATTGTTTTGGGATGCACTGATGGTGAGCTGTATGCATTCATGGAGGGAACACATTGCACCAAATTCTAGTTATCTGCATTGCCGGACTATCTCTTCAGGTATGAGAGATGGCAGTCATAGACTCTAAATTTCTACATGTTTTATCCTAGACAGCAGTTTATGTCCCCAAAAGAAATTGTTACTACATGCCTACTGAGATCAGAATTTCCCACCCTATACTTACCATGTGTCTGTTTAGACACTGGCTCTTGTGTTACAGCTTTTCTGAATATTTCTGTGAGTGGATAGTTAATAGTTATATCAACTGTCACAAAATAAAGATTACTATCATTTAGTTAATAGTAATATGTTTCATTGGCACTGTTACATAACTGTATCTAAGCCATTGAACCTTGACACAGAAGCATATAAAAAACTGACTCACTTTAGTGCACACACATTCACAGCTCTTATGATGAAATCTGTGGTGCAAGGTAAGAGTAGGGGCAGTGCCTCCTCAGGGGCAAACCAGGAGTAACTGCATGGGCATGGATTCCAAGAGGCAGGAGCAAGGGGGATGTCATAAGTATCTCTTTCACAAAGCTTTCTGCCTTATTTTATCTTCTCACATTAACAGGAGAGCATGAAACTCCATTAAATTCAGTTCAAATCCACCGAATCTCTGCTGACATTGTGTGCAGTCTCAGA